CTTGTTGGATGGGCATCAAGACAAGCTGCGCAAACAGAGCATGTACTCAATCGCCAAGAACATTGGCTTGCCGGCTACCTTTGTTGAGCTTAGGCATCAGGCCACGCATGAGCAGCTGCCATCCCTTGCTAAGCTGCGGTCCGCCGCAAGAAAAGCTCTGGTCTGGATTTGGGACTACTACTGGAAGCACCTGGGCGAGGCAGAAAAGGCCAAAGATCCATGCAAGGAGCTGGTCTTGTCCTATCTGCGGGAGGACGACGAGGCAGCGAGGCAGAGAATCATGGGACAGCTACGTCAGTGGGATCTTGTCTATTTGCAAACGACAATTGCCGAGCTGCAGAAGACGCTGCCTGGGAACCAAGTGTTCCTCAAGTGCTTGAAACTGTCCAAAGATATGGCGGCGGCCATGGCCACCGAAGAAGCAAACCATCCGGAGCCGGAGGGGAGGGGGATGCCGGAGGAACAGGAACAGGGACAGGGACAGGAACAAGAGCAGGATCTGGACCTGGATCCGGACCGAAGCCCGGAGCCGAACACGGGATGGTCCCGTTATAGTGGTTCTTGGAAACCGAAACCTATTGGCATAGCGTGAACGGCCATGATTCCTGTGATTTCTTATGGCGCCAAGGCGTTGAGTGAGACAAGATTTGGACAGTAAAGATACCCGATTTTTATTTTATTTTATTTTGAACAAAGGATATGCTGCGATGCAAAAGAAAAAAAGATTCCAAATTTCAGATGATGCCATCAGCCTCTCGTCACCCTCCTACGGGCTTCGCGGAGTCGAGTGTAGCAGAGCAGCCAATCACGTGGCTGTTAATAATGATGATGATTGCCCCTCAGTACAGTATTTACGGCTTACGATAACTCCGTTGACATTAAGCTATCGACTCTCAGATTTCTCTTTTGAACATTTCACCAGTCTTTTCAAAGACGAGCCTCGTTGATCTATGAATAGGTTGATACTGCCTCGCAGACAGCTCCTCACCCAGAGATTTGGTTGTTCGGTAAGTGACATGATGGTGTCATGGCTTGGTATAAGCTGTTTGGAGCTGCCCCTCATTGCTGATTAACCCGAGTCGCAGGTTACAAACAACTCACGCAAGATGCATATTCAGTCGATTCCCATGTGTAAGTGCTGCTGGCAAAGAAGTCGACGAAAAATAGAAGATGGGGCAAAAAGGGCAGAGGGAGAGACTGGGCGACGTCGAGCTAATGGTCTGAGTAGGGGTTGGCAGCTCCAACAACTATGCCTATCTTGTGATTGACGACAAATCCAAAGACGCCGTCATTATTGATCCGGCAAACCCTCCGGAGTACGTCGTATTGTTTACGGTTTATGAACCGGAGACCAAGAATAAAAAAAAAACGTGTGAGCTGACTGCGTGCTAGGGTGGCTCCTATCCTTAAGGATGCCATTTCATCTGGCAGGATTAACTTGACGGCCATTGTCAACACCCACCAGTATGCATAACTTTTACACCCGTCTTGGATTTACATGGAGATCTGATGCAAATGAACCATCACAGCCACTGGGACCATGCTGGAGGCAATAAGCAACTGGTACATACACCTCGACTTGATATTGTTCTCTCTCTTTATTAGGGACTCATCCAACTGACCTTTGATTAAAAGCTGTCTGATCTGGGCAACGACAAGCTCGCCATCATCGGCGGCAAAGACTGCGAAGGCGTCACCAGGACACCGCAGCACGAGGAGACGTTCAAGATTGGAGACATTTCCGTTAGGCCTGTGCACACTCCTTGCCATACACAGGACAGCATCTGTTATTACATGGAGGATTCAACCGGCAAGGCCGTCTTCACCGGCGACACACTCTTCATCAGTGGTATGCTTGGCCCGAAATCATTCATGTTTTCGGTTTTGATACAAACAAGGGACGTGTGGTGTACTGACCAATGCATAGGATGTGGCAAGTTTTTCGAGGGCAACGGCGCAGAGATGCACGAAGCCTTGAACAACCGTCTCGGAGCGCTGCCAGACGATACGGTTGTCTATGTAAGTTGCGAAACTGCAGACTGGGCATGGTGAACGAGCTCAGGCTAACGGGCTTCGCTCATTCTAGCCTGGACACGAATACACAAAGTCAAACGTCAGGTTCACCATTTCCGTCTCCCAGACAGAGCCCATCAAGAGCCTCCAGACGTTTGCCGAAAATAACGAGGTGACCACGGGCAAATTCACGATCGGAGATGAGAAGGTATGCGGCTACATACAGAGAAGCGGAGCTGAAGAAGCTGCTAACCACGTAATAACAGAAGCACAATGTCTTTATGAGAGTCCAGGTAAGTCTACCGTCAACAACAATCCGTTTTGGATCAGGGGCTGAGCTAACGATGGTGTGTAGGATCCCGAGATCCAAAAGGCGACAGGCGAGACAGATCCCGTGTCTGTCATGAGCAAGCTGAGGGAGATGAAGAACAACTTCAAGTGAGAGGAAGCGACTGTGTGAAAATTGCGAACAGGGCCGGCGACTAACGTTGCCACCAGGCCCTTGGAAGCCAAAATTTGACGTCTGATGGCGGCGCCTGGACGATTTTATCTACGGATGCAGGATGATGGTAGCACACCATACATGTACATGCACAACTCATAAGACATTTTCACACATGCAATGCTTTTTTTTTTTTTTCATCTTTGTCTGTCTCCATGGCTTACTTGACACCAGCGCAAAAGGCGCAGATGCCGCTCGTTAACCACTGGAAATCGCGTCGTAGAAGAGTGACTCGACTGGGTTTTACTCTCGCTTCACTGTCCACACTTGCGCGCTGTTGAGCATTCTGAGGCGGCAAGCTCTAGCTAATTTTGAAGCGATTGGTGCTGGTGCAAGAAGAGAAGAGGGATGAGGAGGAGAGACAAGTTTGGGTGATTTCACTGTAGATGGGCTTCACGCACAAGACATGCAACAAACCTGGCGCTGGAGCGTTTTTGTCCACGAGGAGGAGATTCTTTGGGTTCGAGACCGTTTGAATCGCTGCCGGATTTGCACTCGGCGGACTCTCATAATTCATGAGAGCCTCGTATTAGACTCTGTAAGGCGTCTAGGTATCAATGATGCGTCATGGCTCTCCATTCTAGGGCGACGTTGCGACGCGAGAAAAAAATGAAGATATTCTCGAAATGAAGAAGAAAGAATTTTTTTTCCCTCCTAGGTGGTTAAATATCGACAGCTAAAAGATAAAGTGGCCCCACAGTGCATATAAAGTCACATTGGGCACCAAACGCACTGTACTTATTTTCCCCTTCAGCCTCGCGCCTCGCATCACCAGATTCCGCGCCAGTGACATCAACGTGCATCCCCAAGAGCCCAATAAGACAAAGGAAATACCCAAACACCGAAAAGTCTCAGATCGTCACACTTTCCTCTCCGCCTCGCCATCAGCAGCATTACCATCATTCTATATCACCAGCAAAAAGCACACACATATACATTATATATAGAGCGGCCACTGGTTAACTTTCACATGGTTCGTCCCCTCCTTGACGACTTCACAACCGCCCAAAAAGCTAAAAACATGGGTGCTTCATGAAGCCTCCGAAGCGCAAAACCGGCGGTCCCTCCACGGCGTCGAAACCGCGACAGTCGAAACTCGCCAAGGAGCACAATGTCACCGCGCAGGAGGAGGGCGAGATTAAGGAAGCCTTTAGCTTGTTCGCGGAGCCCATGGACGGCGAGAAGAACGGCGTGCTGCCCATCAACGACCTGAAATCAACACTCATGTACGCTCTTTTCCACCTCTCCTCTACGAATTCAATATGTGAATCAAGAGCAAAAAAAACTAACCACACATCCTTGCCTCAACAGCGCCCTAGGCATCCCCCCCTCGTCCCCCGCCGAGCTCCAGGAGTTCATCGCCATCCTCGACCCCGAATCCGACGGCTACGCCACCTACGAGCCCTTCTTCGCCATCTGCGCCCTCAAGTTCCACGCGCGCGACAGCAGCGCCAGCTCCGACGCCCACCGCGCGGAGCTCGCCGAGGCCTTCCAGCTCTTCACCAACGGCGCCGACGGGCCCATCACGCTGGCGCACCTGCGCCGCGTCGCCGCCGTGCTCAAGGAGGACGTGGACGAGGAGCTGCTCAAGGATATGATTCTCGAGGCCAACGGCGGCGTGGGCGTTGCGAGGGGCGTGGGCCTGGATGAGTTTGATAGTGTCATGAGGAGTGCTGGGGTTTGGCGGTGACGGAACCCATGGGCTGGGACGTTTTGCTTCCATGGGGAGCTTGTCTATATCTGTATATTGGGATGAGTCTGATGCGTTAATGTGTTGGTGTGGTATAGGGGGTGAGAGATTTGCATTCTGTCTTTGTAGCGAGATTTTGGATTTCTTTGGTATTTATTTTCGCGTGGCGCTGGGAGTTGCAAAGTTGTTTTGACGCCCCTGTGCGGCGGCCATGGCTTCTTAATGTTGTTGAGTTCTATAGACGCAGCACTACTCGTATACTTCTACATGAGTAACGACGGAAGAGGATATATGAGTGGTTATGAACCGAAGGGAATGTATGGATGCCACAATGCAATGCTGATGAAATGTGTAGGTAGTCAACACATGTACATATGTATATATATAAATAGAATCTAAGCAAAGCTATGCTCGACCATCCATAGCCCTGATGGAACGGAAATTCTAAATGGCTGCATTACAACGCTTTCTGAACTGTGATTTTAGCAACGTGTTGCCGAATTGTAACTGGAAAATGCTTGACACAAGGAAAAGCGGACGCGACTTTATCCTTGTATACTAGAAAACCCCAATGATGAAAAGAAGAAAAAAACGCCGTACATCATCACCATACCCTAGATGACGAGTGTACAATAAATAAAGTTGGGAGCCCAGTGTCTTGCCGTGACGTTTCAAGACCTGTGCACGAGAGATGAAAAAAAGAAAAGAAAGGGACCCAGGAAAAAGAAACCCTATGCTATCGCTCTCTCGCTCATTAAAGAAGAGAAAGGTATGTATTCGAAGAAGAGCAGCCGGCTATTGCGGAGAATCAACAGTCACTGCAGGCGCCTCAAGCGGCACCGCAGACGCAGAAGCAGACGCCTTGGCGGCAGCAACCGCGGCGTTGCGCTTCTGAGAGTCGAGGACGGCCTGGAGCTCGGGCGGGGCCTTGAAGCCGGCGTGGTCCGAGTGCTTCTTGTAGAAGTAGTTGTCCGGCTTGGGCTGCAGCTCGGGGGGAAGATCCTCGAGGATGCAGGCTATCAGGGCGTCGACGGAGTTTTGCTTGGACGAGTCGCGGTGCCAGACGGTGATGAGGTGCGAGTTGAAGCGGACGGAGAGGCCGACGCCGCAAATCTGGTCGGCTAGGAAAACGTGTTAGTCGACGAATACATGGTAGGGTGAGAGGCAAGAAAGACAACACACCATCGTCAATGACGCTCTGCAGCTTCTCGCCAATGGCCAGCAGCTGGATGCGAGTCCAAAAGTCTGGACCAATGGCCTTTGGCACGCGAAACGTCCAGCTGCCGCCGTTGATGTTGCGGCGGTCCTCCCAGATGGGCTTGAAGCCGGACTTGAAGAGGTAGATGGACTCGCGCATCTTGATATTCTCGACGGGGGTGTTGTTGTTGTAGCGCCAAAAGTCCTGGACCGACTCGATCTGGGTGCCAATCTTTTCGAGATGGGCCGTGTATTCGGTCTGGCCAGCAGCGGCTTCGGGTTTTTGTTCTTTGGGCCTGTTTGATATAAATATACATGGTTAGAACATTTCAAAATACAGGACAGTAGGGATGCATCCAAGGCCAGAACGAACCGGTCAAAGTAGACGTCCCAGTAGTGCTGCGTGGGCAGTGGTCGCATCGTCTTGAACAGGTTGCGCTTCGCATCGTCGCGCTGCTCGGCGGGAGAGCTGACGTCGCCGGCGTTGGAGCTCTGCGAGAGGCCTGAGAGGCCGCGCGTGAAGAGTTGCGGTCTTGTGGCCATGGTTTGGGTCGTGGTATGATGTTGTGATGGAAGAAGAAGAGGAGAGGAGAGGAGAGAGAAGAGGTATGTAGATGAGGGGCAGAGGAGAAGAAGAGGAAGAAGAGATGACGATATCGGGACAGTCGGTGCTCTAGATATAGATGGATGGATAAGGAGAGGTCAGCACATGCAGAGCCTCAATTGGTCTGCAGTGGCGAGCCTTGCTTGTTTGCTGGTTCACGAGTCAACTGGACTGGACTGAGGTGTAAGTTGCTGGCGGCGTGTCTGTCACTCGTGATATTGATGCACTGATTGGCACTGATTGGCGGGGTTTCTGCTTCGGGCGGCTTCAGAGGCTGGCCAGTGGCTTCCCAGCGAGGGGTCTAGCGCTGTCTTGGTGGCTCCAGGGCTCTGTTTAGTGGCTCCAGGGTCCTCTTGGTGGCTGTGCGCCTCTCTCCACAGGCGCCTGTCGAAACACAGGCCGCTCCTGTTTGAGGTTTTGGAGGCTCTCACTCTTCATCCCATGCATCGCCATATCGGAAACACGGGCAGCTGCTTCACCTGGCGCAAGCCGGGGAACTGACAATTAACAACATGGGGATCGACAACATTGAGTGTTTTCCTTATTCGAATCTTTGTGTCTTTGTCATTTTTTTCTTCCTAACCGACGTCGTTCTTTGTGTTTCGCACGCACTGCGCCTTTGTTTCATGTAAAGCGCACACGCTCCGTCTGTGTTTTGTTTTGTTCCGTTTCAGCTTCCCCAATCTCACGCCGTTTCACCTCCTTGCACCCTCATTCCGGTAGCTTCTCTACCCGAAGCTCCTACAGGCGAGCCGTCGGATTCATAGACGTGACTGAAGGAATGATATCTTGTAATTAGCCCTTGGCATGGCATGGCATGGCATGGTTAAGTGAATATGCCGTCTTCATGTCAAGCGTCTTATTCTATGGCTGTCGTCATTCAGCACCGGTTCAAGGAAACATGCACTGAACCATTCATTACACTGTTCAATTTGGGAAAAGACTCTGATATAAGAGCACTAGGTCAAGAATGACACACGTATTGAGGCTGTTCAACAGTAAAGAGACAACCTCTTAGAGTCTGTCTCCCACATTGAACACTCTCAGCATGAACCATCTCGTCCACATCAGCCTAGACATGTAATCCAACACAGAAAACTCCTCGTCTTTGTCATTGACATATATATAAATATATACGCATGTAAAACACATCTGACCGTGTAATCAATACCCGTAATCCGTCAAACTACGCATACCGTATCCTCCTCTCATGCTACGCAAGCATCATAACCGCCTCAACACCACGCATCCCATGGATCCCAACCATCCCAACCCTCACTTCCACGCCCTGGACATCATCCTCGGCTACCTCAACCACGGCAACTCCGCCCCCGAGATCCAACACCTCTCCTCCGTCGCAGAATCCTGGTGCCAGCAACACCGCCATTCCCTGCTCGACTACACCCCGGCCACTCTCGACGAGGTCCTCTGGACTCACCCCTTTCTCTTCGACCTCACCATCCGGTCCTTTGCCCGCCTCCACTCCTTCAACGACTGCAAATGCAGAAGCAACTCTGCCCAACCCAACCGGTTCAGCCGCATCAACGCTTCCCCACCCTCCCTAGCACACATCAGACCCCTCGTCACCGCCCAGCAATTCTTCTCCGCCATCATCGATGCGTATACGCTGCACACGGGACGAAACGGTAGGTGCTTGCACGACCGCATCGTTGCCCAGGACCTCAAGGCCTCGCCCATCGTCCACTACATCCCCGAAGTGATCCATCGCATCGCCGCGCTGAATGTGCGTGAGATGCTCACCAGTGAGTTTTCGACGTTTAGCCCCAAGAACAGCCTGGGCTTCTCGTGGCATCTTGCAAAGGTGGTGGATATTGTCATGATGGATGCTCCCCCTGTCAATGCCTTCGAAGATGACGCTCTTACAGAGCCGATGGACGTTGATGATTTCGACCGAGAGGCACTTGCGCTGCAAACTGTCGTTGCTAATGTCAATGCTCGTGCTAATACACGTCGACCAAAGCGGAAATTGGCGCCCAAGGGTAACAAGAATTCTCGACCTGATAAGTCTCGACCCAATCACCCTCGACCTAATCACCCTCGATCTAATCAGTCTCGATCTAATCAGTCTCAATCTAATCAGTCTCAATTTAGTCACCCTCAATCCAGTCACTCTCACCACAGGCAATCTTCGGGTGTCAGGAAGAAGAGAAAGAAGAATCATTGATGCCAAGGTATTTGGATATAGGTACATATTGATGTATATAATCCTAAAGTCGGTATCTCAGTCATAGAAACAATGAAACATGCCCTCAGGCAAACAAAGCAAACCACTCTTCCCCTTGTAAACACGATCGCTCATACGCCCACAACTCTGTATGTCGTGTGGGAGAACTTGATATATTATCCCCTTTGACACCACAGAAAGACAAAAAAAGAAGAAGAAAGAAAGAAAAAAAAAAACTTGGCCAGAACAGTGCTAAAATCCCATCACCCAGCATCGTCGTCGTCACATCGTCATTAACCGGTTCGTTACACATTCTGCTTCACACCAAGAGGCATTCGCGCACTGTCCGCATCCTTGAACCTGTCGAGGTCGCCGCCGATGAGCTTCCGCAGGTTGCCCATGTCTTGCAAATAGCGCTCCATCTCCTGCTGGAGCTCATCGTCCGCAGCGGTGCTTTCCGAATCGTACTCGTACTCGTCGTCTTCCTCGTCGTCTTCCTCCTTGTTCTCAAGCTGCACCGGCGGGATGGGGTTCTTGAGGCTGTCAATGGCCAGCTTCAGATGTAGCTTCAGAGCCTCGTTCTCCATCTGCAGCTTCTTGATCTTGCTTTCGGCCACCATGCTGCGTTCCTCCATCATGCGCTGCATGGTGCCGACGCGGATCTGGTACTCCTCCAAGCGCTCTTCTGCCTCTTGAGCATTCTTTTCGCGCTCGCGGGAGTCCGAAACCGATATCTGCAGCATCCGAATCTCCTGCGCCATTGTGGCAATCTGGGCGTCACGCTCCGCAGACGAGATGTGGTCCTGGTTGACCTTGGCGCGAGTGCGGATGCGCTTGGCCTGATCGGCGTAACGAAGCGTCGAGAGCGTCTCCTCGTAGTCCGAGGGGGCGACACACGCAATCATGGCCGTCTTGCTGTTGCCTCCCAGAGAGTCCTTGAGCAGCCACGTCAGTATCGAGTCTCGATACGGCACCACATCCTTTCTCTTGCCCGACCGCAGCTGCTTGGGACCTGCCAGCGCGGCAATGACCCGGCCAAGGGTGGCGAGCGACTTGTTGATGTTACTGCCCTCGCGAAGTCGTGCCCCCGTGGCCTCGGTCGTCTTTGCCCTCTCGCTGCCTGCCAGATCAACTAGCCGGATGCGAGAGCTGCGTTCCGTGGTCTCGTCCGTCTCCATGTCGTGGTGAATCTGCTTCAGCATGATGGTGAAGACGGCGTGGCTCCGGCTACTAGTATCGTTCATCTTGGTGCTCGCCGTGGTGCGAGATGCGTCTCCCACCTTGATGTATCGCATAATCTCGTGGATGTTGCGCACGGGCACCTCGGTGAGATCCTTGACATACGGACCCTCGGTGGGAGACTCGCGGATCTTGAGGTAGTTGGGGGCCGTGCTGGGGGCGACGGGCACCAGAAGGTCTCTGACATGCTCGTTGTAGACCTCGAAATACGAAACCCGTACGTTGTAAGCGACGCCCGATTCCTCGTTGTGAGCGGCGGCTATGCGCTCAAACAGATCCTCGCAAGTTCGAGGAATCAGCCCGGGGTTGTCGGGCGTCCCCATCATGGTGTAGCTCTTGCCAGAGCCGGTCTGGCCATATGCAAAAATGCACGTGTGGTAGCCCTCGAAGTTGTGGTCGAGAAACTCCTCGCCGAGGCTGTTGTAGATGTCTTCTTGGTTGGCATAGTCCTTGTCGTCGGGGTCGTGGCTCCAGAAGGAGCTGTCAAAGGCGAAGCTCTTGTCGGTGAGCTTGCGAGACTTGGACGGGCTTGAGGCCCCGGAGTTTTCTTGTTCGTCGGGAGGAGCCCTGAGGGTGGTGATGTGGGATACGGGGTCCATTTCGACAAGGCATCTGGCTCGTCGTTGGAGCTCTATACAGTACAGTCTTTAGTTAGCTTCTGTCTGTCTCTCTGTCTGCCTCTCTCTTGGTTCCCCCCATCTCATTGACAGCCCAGCGGCATCTTGACCTACCTCGCTGTAAAAAGGCGCGCACTCTGACGACAACCTTGACGTTGCCGCCGCGGTCCATCCTCGAAATCACGGGCATGACGGCGGCATCTCGCGATCGCAGCGATGGAGTCGAGGCCGACGACGAGGCCATCATGAACCGGACCTCGGGCGCCGGCGAGGGCGACGAGGGCATAAGTCTTTCGTCATGAGCCATTGTGCGCAATGTCTCAAAGATGCTATGGAAGCTATCGTGGAGGCGGAGGCGAAGAATGTGCTACATTAGTCGGCCTTTCTTTGTCCTGGATGCTGCTTGTTTACATGCCGGTGATTGAGTTTGGGGCGGCGGTTGCCGGGGTAAAGGGACAGGGGTGGGTGCACTTGCCACAGCCCTGGTGCGACTGTGGCTGTGGCTGATGGCTGAATGGCGTCGATAGCTTGATAGCTTCACTTGGCCCGGGGATTTTCCGCATCGACCGTCCGGGGCGAATGAGTGACTGTGGGGGAAGCTGATTACCTAATGGCGTCTTCCCTTCTTCGAGCTTAAAATATTAACTGTCTATTGTCAAAATAAGCCAAACAACAAACCTCACAAATCCAACCACCATCTCCCTCTATAATTCTGTCTCTCCCCCCCAACCGCGCATTCTGCCTCAACAAAGCCATAGCAACAGAAAAGCTGCCCTTTCACGCGTCAGCAGAGCAGCTCCCCCGGAACCAGAAAACAGGTCCCTACAGCTCCCGTGCAACGCAGCTAGCCCCAGCTGTACCTAGTCTTGTCTCGACTCGCGCAAAGTCGCGTACCTCATCATTTCCGTTCCCTTTTTCTTTCTTTTTTTTTTTCCTCTTTTTATTTTTTTTTCGGCATCACACCAACCACCTCACCATCGCAACGCCAATTCCTCTTACTTTTCTCCCTGTGGCAACCGAGTTCCACCGCCTCAATACCATTTGCGAACGCCCCCCTTTGCTCGTGTCCCCTTTTCCCCTTGTCACCAAAAAGACAAGAATTCCTCCAGTGCTCCCATGGCGCGCACCAGAGACGACGCCAAGGCAGCGGCTGCCGATGCGGCTGCAGACATCACTCGCCAGCCCACCGCAGATGCTGGCGTGAAGAAGACGCCGGGTCGCGGTCGAGGCCGCCCCAAGAGCGCAAAGTCGCCCTCGAAGCCGTACGTGCCCACCGGCCGCCCTCGCGGAAGGCCCAAGGGCAGCTTCAAGTCCAAGGAGGGCGCGGAGAGGGCGAAGAAACCAAAGAAGCCGAGCGCGCCGCTGGCCCCGGGCCAGACGCGTGGACGTGGCAGGCCGCGCAAGTCAGACGTCGTGCCGGCGCAGGAGGACAACCAGGAGCAGACGGCAGAGTCCGAGGCCAACGCTGAGGCTGAAGCCGGAGATGATGCCGCCGAGAACCAGCCAGGTATCGGTGGTAAGTCCAACCGTCGCCAACACAAAGCCACATAAATTCTTTCCACAAAAAAGCAAAAGAGACGGACCACTCACGCAATGCCAATTTTCCTTTGTAGACGTGACTGGTGGTGCACGCGCCGGGACGCCGCGGCAGTCTCCCGAATACGAGGTCGGTCCTTCATCATCATTCACATCACCTGCGTGGTTCTCGCGATTCAAGAACATTATTGGCTGATTGTGGTTTGCACTGTTGCCTTCTCTGCCACAGGAGGACCAGGTTGATTATGACAATGACGATGAATGAGGGCTTTTTGCGCGCGCGAGTCGAGTCGGGCTTTTGTTTGGACTGCAAAAAACATGTGGCAAAGAGAGAGAGAAGGCTGGTTGGGAAAGCAGGACGGAAACTGTTTTTAGTCATGTTCATCATCTCCCCCTTCTGGCCGTGAAGGCGTTTTGGTCAAGAAGAAGGAACAACATGTCCAACAACATTGTGAGGGAAGACGGGGGCGGCGTTTTGTTATCTTTTGTTTTTTGGGAGCTCCGGATTGTATTATTAAGGAATCGATCCCCTTGCTTCAGCAGGATGGAAACAAAGAAGAAAAAAAACATAGGAAGCCCGGTACAGCACGAAAAACGACGGGCTCATCCATCTGCTGCTCGCAAGGCCTGTAATCACCATCTCCCGCACCATGAAGCTACGTGCGACGTGTAATGGCAAAATCAGCAAATGTTTCTTATTGTACAATTCGTGTCTTTTTCATGTGCCGCGTGTCTCGTCAATGCCTCTCTCTCACATGTTCACTCCCGCTTCCATTCGTCAAACTCCTTGTCCAGATGGTCCTTGAGCTCCTTGAACCTGTTTCCAAAGTTTCTCCCGCACCGCCAGCACACCAAGTCCCGCCTCATGTAGCCCTCGTCCTTGGGGATCATCCTGGGGTCGGCCTCGTCCAGCGGGAAGTCGGCCACGTCCACCAGGAACGGCGTGGTGAAGGAGTTGTAGTGCTTGCGGTGCTTCATGGCCGGCGAGTGCATGTCTCGCGAGAGCACGTGGATGTGCAGGTTGCCCATGCTGGGGACGGCGTGCACGCCGCACATGAGCTCGGCCGCCCAATCCCTCCCCGGCGGCAGCTGCGGTTCTTTTCCCTTGTCGTCGTCGTCATCTCGTGCCTCTTCTGGTTCTGGCTCTGCATCGCCATCGAGCACAGCCTCTCGAGCGGCATCCGCCCTGCTAAACGAGCCCAATCGTCTCTGCAGCTCCGCCGCCACGAGCACCTTGAGCTTCCCCACCTCTTCCTTGACCTTTTCCAGAAACTCGACGTCCCGGAGCGCCTCAAAGGGGTGCAGAAGCGTGTGCTTGGGCGACCGCGGCAGCAGCAGCGTGTGCACGGTGGCCTTGGGGAACTTGTCGTGGATGACGACAAAGTCTGCGTTGTAGCAGATGACGACGGACGCGGGATACGATTCCGGACTGGCAATGTATGCGCCGAGGGCCATGCGGTTCTTGAAGAGGTGAGGTCTTGTGCCGGGAGGTTTTGGGACGGCTTTTGGTTTGGGAGCCATGAGTTTGGCGACTTTTGGACGTTAGCTTTTTGTCCTTGTTGTTAGGATTACTCAAGACATGAGACGTCTTTTATTGATTGAAGAGAATTTGAGGCCGCAACTTACACGCATCTTGTTTCGCTCTCTTTGAAGGCGGCTCGTCTTCCTCTTGCTGCATCTCTTGCCGTGCCAATCCTTGCTCAGAGTCTGACTGCGCGTCGGCCTGTGTCATGACTAAAGGGGCGGACGAGCGTTGAAGAGGAATATTAGGAAAGAAGAAGAAAAAAATTAGAATATAAATATTTCTGTCAAGGTGAAAATGTTGTGGTTCGGGGCCGGTTCAGAAAAAAACCCGAGGAAAAGCGAGTGAGTGAGAGAGAGACTCAAGTTGATGGCTTGTAGTGGCAACGTCCAAGACACAGTACAGAATCCCGGGATCCGGTGCCTGGAATTGGCAGCCCCACCAACCAATCGCCAGGAATGGCTTCATTATGCCATCATAGAGAACCAACCGTTGGGCTTCCATTTTGCTTCTTTATTTCATGTCACAGTTGAGAGGACGGACTCGCCTCGATCATTCATCACCAGCACTCACAGTCGAGACGGAGATATCGTCCAAACCTTTGGTATTCTCTTCGCTCCGTATATCCCGGCACCCGCTTCAAGCGTCCAGCCCGTCCAGCTCAATCATCTTGACCACCAACTTGATAATCTTGTTCCCCGCCAGATCCAGCCCCGGATTCTCCACCTTGTCAGCAATCAGATTGTCCACCATGGCCCTCAGCCTGGCCACCAAAACTCCCAGACGAGCCCAGCCCCGGAGTCGGAGCCATCCGTCAACCAAAAGGCCACGGCCCAGAGTATCGAGCTCGATGGGCCCGCAGAACATGAGCAGCGTGTACGCGTTCAGAGCTGATGCCCAATCAATTAGTATTCAAAACCGTTTAAAAGTTGGCAGGAAGACAAAAAAAGAATAAACTCACGAGTCAGGTCCCGGATGAAAATCTTGGTGGTCGATATCATGCTAAAGTACGACATGTAAGCCGCATTCCCGGAAAACCCCTGGCTGCCAAACAGCGTGCTGCTGGGGTGCACAAACACCCGCCCGGGCTCCTGGCAAAAGTATTTGATCGCCCTCGCCTCGGGATCCAGCTCGACGGCTCCGGACATGGAGCTCGCAAACTTCTTGTCGGGGTATTGAATCCGCGCAATCTGCGGCGTGAATGCCGACGCAACAAGTGCTCGTAGGAGCAGGGCGTTCCGAGAACCAGACGTCTGAGAAGCATGAGAAACCATGCCTATTTCTGTCAAAGCATCGTAGTACTGGCTCCTCGTATTGGAAATGTCCGTCAACGTCTGGAAGGATAAGAAGTTTTCGTCGCAAAAGCCTCTGATCTGGCGCTGCGGCGTTCCTCGATCCTTCATCATGTCGTCCCACTGGTTGAAAGCCTCTAGATCGGTCAGTAGGTCGCCATCTCCTGTGTAGAAGCGCATCCTAGCTTCCCGGGCTTCATCCCTCTTCTCCTGAGGTGAAAAGAACGGACTCCGGGTGCTCAGGATGGCGGCAATGGTGATGCAATCATCCAAGCAGCCGAAAATGGCACCAAATACCATGAGTTTGCCGCATCGTAAATCTGCTGGCAGCATGGCCAGCTGCTGTCCCATGGCAGTGAGTTCGTCCCCATCCAGAGCCCCCATGCGCCGCAGTAGTGTCATGGCGCCCTCGATTGCCGGTGTCTCTGGAGGAGTGGGGGATCGCCCGAGGAATCGAATGACATCCTTCATACCCATGGCTCGTACTGACAGACAGAGCTGCTCGAGAGGCACTCGTCTAATCTCGGGCTCCGGCCGAGGCGCCATGTTCTGCTCCAGATTCTGAGTAAAGAGCTTGAAGCATTTACCTGCTTGCACACGACCAGCTCTGCCCTGTCGCTGCTTGCATGCCGCTCGCGATGCCCACGTTTCCTCCAACTTCCTCATGTTGTTCTGCGGGTCAAAGCTAGTCTCTTTGACCTTTCCACTGTCAATCACAACTACGATATCGTCAATCGTGATGGAAGTTTCTGCCACATTTGTAGCTACGACCACCTTTCGCTTGCCAGGAGGTGGGCTGCTAAACACCCTCTTCTGCTCCTTCGTCTCAAGCGAGGCATGTAGTGGGAGAACGTGTAGTGAGTTGATGGACCTGAGATTGTTGCAGGCCTGATTAATTTCCCCAACTCCGGGCAAAAAGATAAGGATGCCTCCCGATTTCTTCTCATACGATAGCTCGTAGTCAATTGCCCTGACGGTTTCTGCAATCAAGCCATAGTTGATCCGGTGACCCAGTTTTTGAATAACCTTGCCCATCGTCTCGTCGCCAATGAAGCTTCCATCGTCGGGTCCATCAACTCCGAAGCCCGTCATACGTACCACGTCATCAAGGTAGTACTCTTCGACAGGGAACGTTCGGCCGGAAATCTCGACGGCTCCGACGCTCAGTCCCTCGGTTTCAAAATAGGACTTGAAAGTCGCGGCATCAAGCGTCGCCGACATGAGCACCAGTTTCAGCATGTCCTTCTTCTTGATCATGACTTCACGAAGCAGATTCAGAAGGAAATCCGTGTCAAGACTTCTCTCGTGAACTTCGTCAATGATGATGTGACTGACATCGGCCAGAGACGCCACGACATCATCCACTCGACCACCGGACGTCTGGAGTCTTCGAAGCAGCACACCAGTCGTGACAAAGGTAATCCTAGTGTCTCTTGACTGTCGAGACTCGCCACGAATGGCATATCCCACCTCGCCTCCCACTCGCGAGCATCGCTCTTCCGCCACTCGATCAGCCAGTCCCAGCGCCGAAATTCGCCGTGGCTGGGTGACAATCATGTTTGCGCACCCTCCGAGTCCCTTTTCGTATAGGTCGTCCAGGAGAAACTGAACAGACTGCGTCGACTTTCCTGAACCAGTCTCACCACTGATGATGGTGACGTGATTCCTGTTTACCGTTTGCACGATGGCGTCCTGCATCTGCCAAGCTGGTAGGGCCTGACGCTTTGTGACCATGTCTTTTTGTGACGGGCTTCCCTGCCGACGAAGCCATTCTTCTTTGCTCTTTGCGTCGACAATCCATTTGAGAGGCCTTGGCGGACCCCGAGAGCGCTTGCTCTTCGCCACCGATTTCGCTGGCCGAGTCTCAGAGGCGGCAGAGGAGACTGCCGATATGTCTAGAAGCTTGCCTGGGTGGGCAATGGTGTCGTTGATGTTCTGTTGGATCCAGTCTACGGTGAGGTATATCTTTGTCGGCTCATCTCGGAGATCCTCTTCGATGTGTGCCAGCATCCGTTTTACTATACTGAGCTTGATGTATGAAGGCAGCTTAGCAATGATGGCAAGGATGATGTGTCGTGGATAGCTCGAACCCTTGCGGACTTGTAAAAAGGTTTCCACGTCTCCGTTTTGCGCATCTTTTACTCCATCAAGGCGGATTTGAATGATGCCATCGCCATCTCGGCGGAAGCTGTTGCCGTAGATGGACTCCAACGTAGTCACTTCCTCATCCCACTGCTCCTGGGGCGTTCCAAAGTCCAAAAAGTCGCCCCCTGATTCTTCGTCACCTTCCTGGTTTGCCGTAGCAGCGGGGAAAAGAATATTCTGTAGCGTTTCGGCAGCGGCATCTTCATTGCCGCCGTGATCATCCAACACGCGAGTGCATAGCTCCACGGAGTATCCGGTCTGCGAAAGGCGCTGAATGATACCTTCTCTCCTCAGATCTGTAGCTCCTATGGTCACGCCCGCTGAGTATTTCTCCGGAAGAGCCCACCGCGGAAGGTCATCCTCGGGAACGTGAATCAAGAGCCACTCTAGGGTTTCTTGACGGTCCTTGCAGTATCCCACAGCTTCCTCTACGTGGCTCTGACGGAAACCAAGCTTGCCCAGCTCCGACACAACGCTCTTCTTCTCAGCTGGAGGCATGGTCACGCCATGGGGGTTCCAAGTCACGCCGTCTCTCAGCAGCGACTCCAGCTGAATCCTGGTCTGTCTGCCCATTTCGACCTTGGGCACCGTCGTCCAGCCTTTCATCGCATTGGATACGGATCCGCTGCCCGTGCTGCTCAGCAGCACCAGGCCTGCCGCTCCGGGTAGGTCCTTAGCCTTGGCCTTGGCCTGCTCAACCTCCTTGCGCTTCTTCTCCGCAGCAGCCTTGGATTCCTGGCGTTCAAGCAGCGTCTTGAAGGGATCGGCCTCGTACATCCAAGCTTTTCCGTCCTTGACATCTTGAGTCTTGAGCGCTTGGAAATCCTTCCATAGGGACTTGTAATCCGGGGGGAGAACCGTGTGCTTGTTCTGCATGCTACACACCCTGAACAGGGCATACGTCGCAGCCGCATGCTTGGCCTCCAATGCCGTGTCCCTCAGGAGCAGATGCTTGTGCGTCAGAGGGATTTTGAACGGCTCCAAGGTGGTGAGCTGCTGCGTCTTGATGTCCTTGGCACTCAGCGTCACCCAGACAGAGAAGCCCTCGGCCGTCTTTCGCGTGTCATACACCGGCTTGTCCCATTTCTGCTTCTGGCAATACTCGCTCAGCAGGTTGACCGGCAGCTTGCCTGTCCACGACGAGCCTCCGATGATCTGCTTCACCGTCGGCTTGGGAGCTGCCGGCGGCAACACCTCCGGAGCGGCATCCGCTGCCTTCTGTCCCTTTTTACCTTTACCGCTCCCATTCCCATCCTTGGATGCTGCAGAGGTCTGGCTTGGTGCAGGCGCGGGGGCCTTCACCTTGCCCTTCTTTACCATGCTATACGGAGCTGTGGTGGTGGCGCAAACAAGAAAAGATCGATCCGCGTCTTCGATTCCCAGGCAAACAAAGACGGGCGAGATTGTCCCGCTACAGCCAAATAAATGAAGTCAAACAAATGGAGCAAACAAGCAACCAAGCAAATTGGACAAAGTTCGGGCGTTACTCCTTTCTCCCAACAAGCTCAGATTTTTTTTGTTTCGTCTCAGTGATGCCAGACGCATCGGCGATATGGAAATTTTATGGGCCCAAAATCGGGCTCGCCAACTTTCGCACTGTGTAGGAAGCTTACTTGCCTGCCTATGATTCTAACAGTGTAGTACGAGGGCATCTGTTTCCAAGTCTCACAATCTCCATCCCCCTAAAAAAGAAACACACAGAGAGAGAGACTTGGATCTTCTATATCTACTTACTATTGCTGATTTCTTCTGCAATAATTATCCCATGCTTTGGCCTCCTAATGCAAGCTGCGCATTGGGCTATTCACCACAGTCTGCGCACTGTCCCAGGCACGATATCGAATTTGATGCTCGCCATGGCTTTAGAGGTTTCTCACCACAAAGGTGAATATTTGATGGACGACGCAGTACCCCGTAATGGCAACAGCAGTCAACATTACCATTGCATCTTGTGTCATCATCATCAAATATCAAACATCATGCGCACACCAAGGATGGGATAATCTGCCTCTTATTTCACTAGCTAAATGCGTAGACGTGAGATGCACAAACACTTGATTGTGGCATCAGGAGCAGCCTCTTCTTCGTAAACTTCTCTCTCTCGACAGAAGCGCGAATGCACTAGCACTGGCTTCTCTCCGCCGTGTCACAGTGGTATATGCCGTCAGACTACCAGACCCAAACACAGGCAGGCAGGCAGCTGATCAGGGGGGTCGCTCTTCAATGGCCATGGCCATGGCCATCTAGACCCGTATTCCACGAGATTTTTGCCCAGTATTTCCTGCTTCATACTAAATTCGACTACTCCTCCTCAGACACAGCATCTTTCTCCTCAGGCTGGAGCTTTCAAGCTACCATAGGGCCTGCTATTCAGTCGAGCTACTCTGTTCCTTCTCTCTTTCTTCCTTCCTCGCACAGATTGTCAAGCCAAATTAAGGGATAAAGGGGGAGTGTGTTGTTGCCAAGAATGTTGGGGGTTGTATCAGCAGAGCTTGTAACACGGTGTATTCTGCTGTTCGTGTTGATGACAATAATGTGAAGGGTGTGCGGGGGAGGTGGTTATGGTTATGGTCTTGGGGGGTGCCAATCAATTTTGGGAGGCGAAGAATCTTCAGCTTGACGCATCAAAGTATCAACCTAAAAGCTCACGAGAGTCACGCGCGCCTTCTTACATGTCCATCGAATCACCGCCGTTGGCAAAGTTGAAGCCTCCCGACTGCGCGGCGCCGTTGGTTCCGAAACCAAAGGTGCCGTTGGCGCCAGTGGGCTGAGAAGCGCCCTCGTCTGCGTTCTCCTCCTCGTCAGAGAAGTACTTTTCAATGATGTTGTAGGCCTTCATGTAGATTTCTTCGTTGGCGTTGTTCTGGCAATCGTGAATCTTCTCCATGCCACCGCACTCCTCGATGAAGAGCGCATAACGGTTGATGGAATCGGCACCGTCGCCTGCGGCCTGTCTGTCCAAATCTCCAATCTTGAGAATGTTCTCCAGACCGTCAAGAGCAACCTGAATGATCTTGTTGTCAGGGCAGGCAAGGAGGTCACACAGGGGCTTGATGCAGCCTTGAGCAACGAGGTATCGGATCTGTTCGGGCTTCTGGAGGCCACCAGATGTAGCGTTGCTAATGGCCCAGCAAGCCTCCTTACGGGTCTTGAGATCGCCGTTCTGCAGGAGGTGGATCAAAGGAGGGATAATGTTGGCATCGATGACAGCCTGGATCTGAGACGAGTTACCGGCAGTGATGTTGGAAATGGTCCAGCAGGCTTCCTTGCGAATGCCATCCTTGGTAGAGCTCAGCAGAGACAGGAGGCATGGAAGAGCGCCGCAGTTGATGATGACCTGGGTCTGGACATCGTCGCCAGTGACAATGTTGCCAACGGATCGAAGAGCGGGGGTCTGAACAGAGGTGGATGCGTGCAGGAGAAGCTCGACGAGTCTGCGGGGAATACCGGCTTCGATAACGGCCTGGATCTTGTCGTTGGAGCCATCAGATAGGTAAGAGATGGCCCAGCAGGCATCGATCAAGACCTCATCATCGAGAGAGTAGACGAGCTTGGACAGAACGGGAAGCGCCGGGGCAATCTGTAATTGACGACACTGTTAGAGTTTTATCCAACAAGACAAAGCTAAGAGTACGTACCGTGTTCCAGTCAGGCTGCGGGGTCTTGCCACGACAGAAGTTGCTCAGAGTCCAGGTTGCGTTGCGGAGCATGCTCAGCTTGCGACTGTCGCCGAGCAAGCTAAGCAGAGGCTTGAGAGCTCCGCAGCTGAGGACATAGTCACGGCAGTGGGGGCTGTCGCCGGCAATGTTACCAAGAGCCCAGACGGCCTGTTCTCGCACATCGGGCTCGGGGCTGCCAAGAAGCTCGACGAAGATGGGAACAGCGCCAGCCTCGATGACGACCTGGGTTTGAGTGGCAGAACCAGAGGCGATGTTGGTCAGAGCCCAGGCGGCTTCGAACTGCACCAGAGTGTGAGGGGATCGCAGGAATTCGACAAAGCGGCTAACAACGCCAGTCTTGATGACCTCCTCGATGGGAGGGTTGCGCTCCTTTGACAGAAGCTTTCGGAACTTGGTGGTGGCCTGGATTTGGAGGTCGATCTGGTCGGAGAAGACGCCAGAAACCATCTGAGGAAGATCCTCGTTAAGCTAATCAATGTCATGTTAGCCGATCCATATATCAGCTTCAAATTTTGGTATGTATTTCCCCGAGTGCAATGCAACTAGGCTCATCCTGTCTTCCGGCTGCAACAGCCTGCAAAACAGCCCATGTGCAGCTCTCACGCCAGTCGGTCAGAATGCCCGCCACCAAGATGTGGGGTTCACAGTCATATTTCCCCCACATCACAAGCAAAAGCACAGCATCACAGCAAAACCTGCAAGGCAGATGGGGGCGCCTTGCGAAGGTCTTGCGACGGCTAGGCATGGAACGAAGCAAGGAAATCAGTAGAGCTTTGCGTACCTGAGACTCAGTAGGAGCCGACTCATCGTCGCTGTCGGGGGCGGCGCCGAGAGCAGCACCAGGGCGACTGTCGCCAGAGCCAATGCCTCGTCGCTTTGCAAAGTTCTCCTCGCGCTTGGCCTTGCGGATCTCGACCTGCTGCTCCTCGCGACGGCGACGGAGCTCATCGGGCTTGAATGTGTTCTTGGCCTTGAACTGGGTTCGGCGATGCTCTGGGATATATCGGTCCGCCATGGTGCTGACGATGTTGCGCTGCTGCTGGTGACGAAAACGGTGGAAAGGCGGGCAGAGCAGGGCAGAGCAGGGCAGAGCAGAGCAGGGGTTACTGATGGTTGCGCGGGGACGGTTCAGGATGCGAGCGATGGCACCGTCCTGTCGACGAAGAATCTGTGTCCTTGGTTGTGCTAGTATTGGATGCGTCCCGGGCTGCTATTCGGCAGAAGTGAAGGGGATAAAAAGTTCGCTGCGGAAGAAGGGGAGAGAAATCAAGGTTGCAGGGCAAAGTCAAAATCCGATCGGTAGGTGCTAAACTTAGCAGGGCGGCAAGAATTGACTGCAGCAGGCTTTACTGCCTGTTCCCGTTGCTAGAGCGCTGAATAGCCGCTAAAAGCTTTCACTGTCGCCGGCGCTCAGACATGTTGCCTAAGGCATCAAGATTCGATGACTGAGCTGGGCCAAGGGTGTGTGTGACATGTCTTGGTCTTTGTCTTTGTCCAGACAGTATCCTCCAGTACCTGCTTACCCCACCTTGTGGCGGTAGTTCCCCTCAGTACATTCTGTTAAGCCTTGATTCACCTCATACTCCATCTGCCGCCGAGTGAAATACCTGCAGGTACTACTCCGTAAAAGATTTTGTATTTGACTCATAGGTATGCCGCCAAAGTTATTACGCAGTACAAGTACCCAGTACCTATCCGTGATTCACCCCCCCTTGCGCCCACCCTGTTGTCATCGCAATCACAATCACAGCACCCTTTGAACCCTATCCGAAGCATTGAAGTTCAATGGTACCCCTCACAATCAGGTGCTGCACTGTACAAAGTACAAGTACCCCTCTCTCCCGCTCTCATCACGTGCTCTCGCGCCTTGGAGATCTGGCCCCTCTGACTCCATAATTGACACTTCTCGTAAGAAACGCGAAATCATCGTCGTAAAACGCGTTTGTCCTGTCACGTAATCCGCCATTTGCTTCCCCACAGTAATTGAGGCTCTGTGGCCGGTATGCACTGTGTTGAATCGCATCCAGTGATGCTTCAGGCGTGACTTTCATGATCACATGATTAAAGCCATGCTCAACTATGGCTCCCCCTCTCAACAAGCGGCAGAACTCACTGCCCAGCGGCTTCATATCGATTCGGGATATACTGGACCGTAAACGAGGAGTCGGAAACTTGCTGAATGTCATTGGCGTCGTCAAAGACTTCAGAACCCCCGTTCCTACCAGGAGAAGCGGTAAGCATTGCTTGCATTCTGCACTATCAGTGGTCGTGTTCTAAGTGCCTACCTCGTGTCTAGATTGGAAGTGTGAGATCCGTCTTTGTGATGACTCTGATGATGATGCCTCATCCAACTCCATCGCCATCAACATATTCCGGCCGGAAAATGAGATGCCGGATCCCGGCCTTGGTGATGTTATAGTGCTCTACCAGGCCAAGGTTGCTCGACCTTTCCTTTGAAGATGGTACATTTTATATGCTAAGAGAGATGTCAGCTGCAATCACACTCCGAGACACTATCACTCGTGACGCACTGGACCACAGATATCTATCTATATTCGGCAGCCCAGATTCCACAGCCACCAGAAGGAGCATTGAAAGCGCTACGCCCTCAGCAAAGAAAGACGACTCATAGCCCTGGACAGACAGTACATGAATACGTTTCGTCTCTCTATCATTCCATAGACAAGAAGAATCTCCCGTCTGAGGCGGAGTTTCAAGATAAAAAGGCAAAATCCGCCAACGCGCCGGATAAATTCAAGGAGCTCAAAGATGTTCGAGATCGCGAATTTGCCGATGTAATAGTCCAATTAGTCAAGCAGCCGTATGATACCGGCGACAGAATTACTCTATGGGTGTCAGACTATACGGAGAATGATGACTTTTTCCATTACGCATTCAAGGGGTTTGGTGGTTATGGTGGCCAAGCCTCTGACCCCTACGGATATGGAGTCAACTTGCCACACGGAGCTGGCACTGGCGGTGAGTGGAAAGGACCCTTTGGGAAGCGGAGCATGCAAGTCACTTGCTTCGAACCCCATACCGGATTTATCAGAGAACGAGGACTCTCTACAGGCTCTTGGGTCATGCTTCGGAATCTAAACATAAAATATGGAAACAACGCCGCCAATCTTGAGGGCTACTTGCGTTCAGTTGGGGGGGCCAACATCACACAAATGGATACTACAGGCACGGAGGATACTACAGGCACGAAGGAAATTGATCCTCGCTTAAAAGAGGCTCTCCGCCGTAAACGCGACTATGCAAAGGAGAAGGCAATGCTCCTTGAGGCAGGATTGGCTGGAAAGAAGAGGAAGAGTGACATGGCCGAGATGCAGCCGCCGCAAATCGAGAAGCCGAGGAGGAATAAAAAGCACAAACAAAAGGCGAAGAAACCGGTCAAGGTGGCAGAAACCTCAATATTGTCACAGATGAGAACCACATACCAAGGAGAGTCAGCAGTAATGTCTAACGGCACGTCCACTGGAACATCTGCTGCAGTGTCAACTGCATATTCAAAAGGTACCTCTCCCCGCCTCCATTGCATTGCATATGAATAGAGAAACCTGACACCAGTAGTGAAATGCGAAAACGAAAACAAACCCATCAGTACCATTGGCGACATGCTAGATCCAGTACACCTGGAAACGGACATCAATGGCGAGCAAGTCAAGCTGCAGCTTCCTTTTGTCAATATGAAATACCGCGCCAACGTTCGGGTTGTCAATTTCATGCCCCCTGACCTAGAGGACTTTGCTCAACCAAAGAAAGTAAAGAAGAAGCCTTCAGAATTCTCATGTCTTTCTGATTATGAAGAGTCAGATGCGGCCTCGGACATGGAAGGAGAAGAAGCAGTGGATCGTTCGACGGCGCGTGAGTGGGAATGGCGGTTCTTCTTGGAACTGGAAGATGCGAGTTCTCATGGGGAAACCCAAAAAGAGCCGAAAACCCTCTGGGTCGCAGTGAACAACCCTTCTGCGCAATGCCTTTTGAGCTTGGACGCCTCTGACTTGCGTTCGGACCAAAGGAATCTCGAGGCCCTACGTCAGCGCCTATTCCTCCTATGGGGTGACCTGGAGGAAAAGAAGAGCCTGGAGGAAGAAAACAAACATCAAGCAGCGCTGACAAACAGGGGGGTAAATCGTCCCCCTTTGCATAGTTCCGATGACGAAGGCAGGATGCCGCAAAAGAAGGGCCCAGGATCGTCGCAAGTCCGTAGCAGGCCGTTTTCCTGCTGCATTCACCAGTACGGAGTCGAGGTTCCCGAAGAAGATCCCCTCAAGGCAGACGCTGGCGAGGGCAAGAGGTGGCAGAGAATGTTTGGGCTTTTTGGAACACGAATTGCATACACTTGATTTGAGGGATCTATTAGGAGTCACTGGCAACTGCAGGTAGAATTGTCAAAACTATCAATGATTGATTTATGTGGTTCACGAGGCAAATAGAAAGATAGCGTATGGCAAATCGGTGGGCAAGGGCGTTCATGCAAATAAACTTAGAAAAAAAACACTATTATTGACTTGTCGGATATCTTTTTTAGACGTTAATCTGCCTGCATTCAAATGCCACCCGGATCGTAATAGTCGCGCGACTTGAACCAACCTCTCTCTCTAAAAGAAAAATTTCTCCCACGCTTGCCCTGCTGTTTCCCCCTCAAATGTTTTGTTCCAAAGTATCAAACTTCGTCGGAAACATGTCAGGTAGGAAGAACAGAAACCCCCAGTAAAAAAAAGAATTGATGCCGCAATAGTAGAAAGGAAGAAGAGACATTTGGCGTAACACAAAAAAAAGCACAACAGCTTTGATACCCTGGCATTGAAAAATAGAAATCCCTTTAACCCTGACAAAATATCATATCCACAACGGAAGGGCTTGATCAAAGCCCACTCCTCCCTCATTGATTTTGTTTTCCCCCTTATATTTCTTTCTTTCCTTTTTCCATTCAATCTCCAAGAACACCGTCGTCGTCGTCGTTATTGATCTTATCAGCATCTTCGTGCTCTTCCTCATCGTCATCGTCCTCAATAGGGTCATCCAGCAGCCCTCTCCGCCGAAGGTCCTCTCTCGAGCCCTCTTCCGGCTCCACATCCTCAAAAATATCATCTTCGTCCTCATCATGAACAGTTTCAGTGCTCAAGGCAGGCTTCTGCGGCTTCTCTGCCGGAGCCGCCTTGGCGGGCTTCTTGTTGCGCTTGGCAATCTTCTCCTCGTCGAGATAGGCAACAACCTCTTTGAAGTTGTGGCCCAGCTTGGTCTCGTTGCGCTGTAATCGTCGCTTGAGCTTGTTGACATTGTTGCCCTTGGGATCGATCAGGTTTGCCGTGATGGCAAGAACGTATTTGGCTGTCAGTTCACATAGGGCTTTTTCAGCCTTGAGCTCGACGGCGAAGCGTTCTTCTTTCGACAAGCCTTCATCCTCGTCTTCCTCGTCAGACTCCTCTTCGTCATCAACAGGATCCTCATCCTCGGCCGGTTCGTTTAGTACCCTGTCTTTCTTGGCCTTCTTTGCATACTGCTTCTCAGCACCGTCATATATGGACGTTAGCTCAGAGATGAGGCCGGGCTCTATTTGCTGAAGTAGTACTTTGAACCTTTCATTGCCACCTGTTTTTGATGCGGAACTCGAGGGACGGAAGTTGCTAATCACAGGGCGCAACGTTGCAAAAGTTAGATGCAGATCGCAAAGACTACCGGTTGCGAAAAGGCGGAGCTGGTCAACGGAAGCCCGAGATGAGAATGTCACTATCAGGTGCTTCCGGTAAGTTTGCCGCAGAACTGACAGGCTATCAAGTTCTTCATCGGCGATGCCAGAGCCAGAAGATAGCTGCTGCGATAGGTTGCGCGTCTTCCACATGAAATAGAACTGGCAGGCCTTAATTGCCAGCGTGACTACTTCGTCTTCTAGATTATCAATATCGTCCTCTTGAGCCTCATACTGTCCTCTGTGAACAATGTTGACCAGGATCTGAATTGCCGGAGAGGTGGAGCCACCCTTTGAAGGAGCAATCTCGAGGACATCGACGCAGTCTGAGATACTAGCCAGTTTGCTGATCTTCATCAAGATAGTTGACAGCTCCTGAAGCGGTGCCTCTTCCAAGTTTCCTCTTGCAGTGAGCTCACATGTTGTGTCAAAGCTTCGAAGAGAATTGATGACCACCTCCCAGAGAACGGAGAGTTTGGTATCCGTCATTTCTTCGAGCTCCGCATATTGCCGAGCATGTAACAAAGCTGCTGCAGCCTCAGCCAAGACTCTCTTATCGTCGTGTCTGTTGAACTGCGTAATAACTTCATCCAGCAGCTTTTCGTATATGCTAGAGTCTTGTCGCAGCTGCTGGAAAGCATCCAGTTTGAGATAGCGCTCCAGCCGGAGGACGATGGCCGCCGTCTCGGGCTCTGCGCCATACTTGCTCAGCAATTTTGGTATGTTGGTCGCCAATTCCAAGGCCAATTCCTCCTGAGCCTCGGCGGCTTCGGTACGGGGACCACGCTTCTTGCTCTTGTCATGTTCGGAGTGCTGCAGCAAACTCGACTTGATAGCGGAGCTTAGAACGTCAAGGAGAATCTTTTCTTCCTCAGAACTGGGTGCAACCGCCTTCTTGAACGCATCCTCTGAGGGATTACCCTTTGACTTTGATCTTGATTTGGACTTGGTACTCGTCGTGTGGTCATACAGGAGATAGCCAGCCAAAATCTCCCAGGACTTGATTTCTGAGATTCTGTCGTAGAGGACTTGTGATGCCAGCGAAATCCTCGTGTCGGGCACGGCGCTTTCCAGCAAGTCAACGTCAAGATCCAACGGCGATCCTTCTGTCTGTTGGGTTTCTTCAACCTGCGCATCATAGATTGTGAGGGTTTCAGCCAGACATTTCAAGTTGAGCCAGTCTCTTCTTGGCGCTTCATAATTGTCTTCTTCAGCGAGATCCAACTCTTCCAGGGCATCGGAGCCACCAATCTCCTCAATCTTGCCCTCGATTACGTCGTCGATGCAGGCAACGAAGAAACCGACAACAGCTTTGCGCACTCTGATTTCGCTATCAAAGATGAGTCTTCCAATGGCATCGATTTCGTTGGGCTCAAGGATGGCAGCCGCTCGCAGCGCGTCAATGGCAGATATGGCAGTAACTCTGACGGACACATCAGCGTCGATTGTTGCCATCTCAATCAATCGGGGCCGGAATCTGTCGATGAAGTGACCCATCCCGTGTGCATCACGTTTGAACAATTTGCTAAGATGCTTCAATACTTCTTGTCTAGTTCCAGCGTTGGTATCAGACAGCATCCAGCCCAGGTAACGTAGGTAGCCAGCTTCTAGGAAGACTGTTGGCAGGTTCCATATCCAGATTCCGAGAGCATCAACGCATTCTACCCGGATCTTTGGGTCAACATCACGATATCGGTGGACGAAGACGGTGTCGAAGAAGGACTGAATAGCATCGTTACAGATCTTTCGATAGTTGTTTGCCTCGGACAAGTTGCGTTGGATTTCGTCCGCCTTGCCCTTGTTTTTGCCTCGCTTCGCAGCCTGCGACTGTTGTTCAATGCTGGCAATGCGTTTGTCGAGGATACTGGCAACCTCAACAAGCCCGGATTGCACAGCCAAAGCAATGGTCGTTGCCGTGTGGCGGAAAGGCCGTAGCGGCGAAGAAGACATGCTGGCCAACCAAGCATGGAGATTGTCGACGAGGTCTACGTCCTTGTACATGACATCGGTCTCGTGTAGCAGACCAATCAGAGCCTGGAAGAATGTGATGAGCAGATCTCGGAATGATCGTGTGCCCTTGGCTCTGGCAACCAAGGGGTAGTCGACGATATGTTGCTGCATAGCTAATTAGTTCCTACCACGAGCTGAAGAATTTCAAGTTACTGATCCTCATAGACGCACCTCTTGATACACACTCTGCAGATCCAACAGTCGGTTCGGGATATTCTCCGGATCACGAATGTCATCAACTGTCACCTCCAAATCGCAGCCCGCGCATCGCAGGATACAGTTGATGAGATCGCCAAGTGCAGCCGCATCGCTCTCCCTGTACTTTTCGAGCCATTGTTGGGCAACAAACTGGGGAGAATCACCAGATGCGAAGATGTCGGCTGCGAAACAAATGTGTCAGTGCCAAATCCATGGAGAGAGGGGAAGGGAGGGGCAAGCTGGAGAGACGAAATGGACACATACCAAACAGACCGGTTCCTTTCTCTCCTGGGTCGATGCGAACCGTCTTCTTGGGTCGACTAGGAATGCGCGCAATAGCCCCCGATGCAGCGGGCCGGGAGCCGTTGATCTTGGGCTTCTTGGTGCTTGGCTTCTTTGCGCGGCTGGTTTGCGCCTTTCGCGGCTTCGGCGCAGGATGGTCGTGATCGCTGTCAGCGTCGCTCGCAGCGTCGCTCATGTCCTCGTCCGAGGCCACGTCACCATTCGCAACCCCTTGGTCGTCCTCCGCCTCATCGTCGTTCCGCTTGCGCTTGGGCGCTGCCGCTGTCGGTTCCGGCGCGTATTTAGTAGGAGCTTTAACGACGCGTCCGGATCGTCGACGCGACTCGGGCTCTGGAGACGCGGTGGCGCTGTCCATTGTGTCGAGTCTCGGTGGATGGTTTTTGGCTCTATGGCTTCATGCGCATGCTCGAATGCCAGGCCGGGGGCAGCAGGTCCGGGCAATTTGCGGCGAGGGGAAAAAGTTCTGGCGGCGAGTCGCGTTCGTTTGTGTCATGCAGCGATGCTCTGGCAGGGCCATTTGATTTGATTTGATTTGATTTTCGAGGTGGGCAGAGCCGCCCACTTTAGCACCGGCTGAACCCCGGCCGAATGTTTTTACGTGTCAAAATGCGGAGAAAGCTGGGGGGATTGTGGTGAGCTAGTCCTATTTTGGCACTAGAAATGAGGGAGGTCTAAGCCTAATGAAGCACAGCTCAGACAGCTTCCCTTTGTTTGAGAGATAAAACTCGCCTCTTCTCAGCGCACAGGTAATTAGATTCATAATAGAATCAACGATATGCTGTTTATCGGGGCCACATGCACCAATGTCATAATGCAGTACGATAAATAAACGTTGCCACCTAAACGGCGATGATTCCATTCGATTGGAATAGCTCCCGGAAGCCAAATCCTGAGTTGATTGCGCTAATCAGAACTCTCACAACCCCCCATCTCTTGATTGCGGGCAAAGATAAGCAGCCAAAATACTTATACTTACTCGTGCCAATAGCACCCGTGACCTTGTATAAATTCAAGATTTATCAATGAGCTGGAGCGTGCCTCTGTAGCATCTTGACTCAACCTCTTACAAGCAATGATTGGGTTATCATGACATCGCCGTTCCCCAAGTCAACTTCTCGCCCTGGTGACGGCCGCATTGTCGTGAGACTACTTCCAGCTGGCGGCAGCGGCCTTGAGACCATCAGTTACCAATACCCCTTGAAACTGATCTCGCCTTCGCCCACAGTGGCTCAGAAAAGCGCCTTGGTCTTTCTTCTATCATACGGAGGTGGCCTGGTTGGCGGCGATGGCGTCAATCTCGCCGTTCGTGTCCATCACGGATCAAGTCTCAGCCTAGTCACTCAGGGCCACACCAAGATATTCAAGTCTCCCTCGCCAGAAGTCGTCACAAGTCAGAGATTACAAGTGCAAATCGACGAAGACGCTGCAGTCTGTCTATTGCCAGATCCTGTCCAGCCATTTGAAGACAGCGTGTACGAGCAGGTTCAAGTCTTCAACCTGGGCAATCGGGCATCGTTGTGTCTCCTGGATTGGGTGACGCAAGGAAGGGTAGCGCGCGGAGAGAATTGGAGCTTCAAGAGCTGGAAAGGACGCAACGAAGTTTGGACACAAGCATCTGATTCGGCGCAAAAGGAGAGACTTTTAATCAGGGACAACATCATCTTAAGCCAAGGTGGAAGCCAGTCGGTTGGCTTGCCGCTGAAAGACACAATGCATAAAATGAGTGTCCTGGGCACACTTATTCTCCGTGGACCAGTCGTGGCGCCCATTGGAGACTTCTTCATGAGAGAGTTTGCTGCTTTTCCACGGATAGGATCTCGCGACTTTCGCTCAAAAGAGGATCAAGAGAGGGACTCGAAGGAAATGCCAGAGTTTGAGCAGTGGCGATCACGGAGAATCGACATGGAAAGGCAGCAGAGCGTGCTTTGGTCCGCAGCTCAGGTTCGAGGATGCGTCATTGTCAAGTTTGGGGCTGCTTCTGTTGAAGCCGGACGATCATGGATTGGGTCAATGTTGGCAAGGGAAGGAAACATAGCCGCGTACTTTGGGCATTCAGCTCTCATGTGTGTTGAGCCTTGATGTATTTTATATTTCATTAAATGTGTACAAGTACCTATGAAGCATCATGTTTGATTCAATGTCAGTCGCCATGGAATTGCTCACATGTGTCCCAGTATCACCATCAGATCCATGTGCCTCTCTCTGCATCTTGAATCTGAAGAGCCAACTCCTGTCAAAGAACTACGTCAATCAACCCCATGACCACCTGAATTGAGGCGTCGTCCAACTCACACATTTGTCACAGAAATGACATTTGTAGTCATCGCCTCGCTCTAGCCACCGATCCATCATCATTCTAAGTCTGGTTCCCGTTAACCTTGTCATCATTCTCACTTACAACAAGAATAGCGGCTTCAGCCCTGGTGGAGTCTCAGTACAGTGCCCGCTAAGGCCGGATACAGGGGCCTTCTGTATGTCTGTAATCGTGCATTTTAGCATCAATATCTGACTGATCAATCAATCATATCCATAGGCACTTTCGTCCCCCACCAGCCCAGTTGCAGCACTAAAAAAAAAGAGCCCCGCCAAAACTTTGAATTTTCTAGACACAAGCTTCCAACTGTCTGCGAACTCAATCCAATGACCGCGATTGACTCATCATCACATACACAGCATGGTTCGAGGTAGAGCTACCGGTAGAGGCGTGGGCCGAGGCAGTGCCGCCGCCTCGTCAAGATCTCAGACCGAAGGCGCGGACGATTCGAATCAGCTGTCCAGCAATGCAGCGCCAACAGCAAACATGGGAATAGCAGAGTCAAGCACCGATCCGTCACAATCAGCAGCCTCAACAGCCCGGAGAGGCGCTACATCCGCACGGGCGGCACGCGGGGCAGCTTCAGCCGGCAGATTCAGACCCAGGAACGTTCGACGAGATGAGTCAGAGCGAGACGCGCTGGCCCAGCAGGAACAGCAGAAGGCGAGCGACAGAGCCGCAGACGAGAGGCGCGCCAGGGGCCGGTCACGATTCCGCAGCAAACGAAGTCGCGGTGATGCCATGGGAAGCAGAGGAGGCGGCTTTGGGCGGCCAATAGGCGGAGCCAGCGGGCCCTTTTCTTCGGGGATGGGAGGTCCAGGTATGTCGGAGTGAAGCTGTCGATGAGCCTAGGTCGTCCATGATGCTAACGTGGGATTGAATTTCGGTAGGCGGCGCAGCTGGTGGAGGTTGGTTTGGTGCTGGCGGCGGCGGTGGTGGCGGTGGTAGTTTCGCGAGAACTGGTAAATTCGAAGGCAAGCCTGGCTCTGGGTTCGGATTCGCCAGCGAGGGTGGCTTCCGAGAAAGGAGAATCAACGCCGACAAACTTCACACAATGGCACACGACGAAGACCTGGACAGCGAAGACGAAGCCATGTTGGCTGCGCTTCATTCTCAGCCAGGGGGTGTCATGCCCATGGGCATACTCCGACGAGAACACAAGGAAGCACCCGTGGTTGTTGCTACGACCGCGGAACTAGAGGCGGCGGAGAAGGCGCTGGACGAAGAGGAAAGCCTCTGGGTCGATGGCGAAGCGCCTGGATCATTACCACCGGCCGACCAACCGGAAGAGGGCGATTGGAATACAAGTGCCAAAAGGGCAGCCAGAGTCAAGAAGGAGCCGGCAGATGATACCATGAACTTGGATGTTGACATCAAGCCTGCAGACGAGAGCAAGCTACCTCTGGCCAAGATCAAGGCCAAGAAGCCGACTGCTCAAGATCCTGAGGAGAATATGATTCGCACAGATTTGAGCCTTCTCGCCAGCGAACTCGGCGCAATCACAATCAATGGAGACGGCGAAGAGAAGGCAGACGAGACCAGTAACAAGGATGGCCGACTATATCTCTTCCAATTCCCCCCGCTGCTCCCTCCCTTGAAGCAGGTTGCCGCCCCCCAGCCTCGCATTAAAGTCAAGGAAGAGGAGCAGCACTCTGCTAGCTTACATGCGACCCCCTTGAGTGCGTCATCTACCGCTACGCCCGTCGACCTCACACAACAAGGCGAGGAGGAGGAGGAGTCGGATGAAGAGGATGAAGAGCGAGAGCGCAGAAACGGCTTCAGGTCCCAGGCGCTTTCCAACGGCGGTCTTATCGGCCGGCTCAACGTCAGAAAATCCGGCAAGGTGGAACTGGACTGGGGAGGCCGCATCCTGGAGATGAGCCCTGCGGCAGGCATGAACTTCCTCACGACGGCCGTCATCGTCGAGGAATCGGATGAGAAGCCGCAAAACGGCGTCACGACGGGCGAGAGCATCGGCATGGGCAAGATTATGGGTCGCTTTGTGCTCGCGCCGATATGGAACGAGGAGGAGGAGTGGGAAGTCGCGCCGGAGGAGCTCGACATTGAGGCCATGATTCAATGAAACAATAAATGAATAAACATAATGAGACATCAATACCGCGGCAGACAGATGATTATGGAAGTGAGTACCGGCTTGACCAGATACTTCTGTTCTTTCATGGAGGTTCCGGCGTTACGTGCCTACCTAGGTATGTTTTAGGGCAAGCTTCGAGTGCTGGTTCAATGGAAGGTCGTATCCAGCCCCTGAGTCAAACTACAGAGCAATGCAGGTGAGATCCGATCAGAGGCAGTTTATCGCACCTTCTATCGGCTTATGCTTTCTCGCTCTCACATACTTGTTGCATCCCCCGGCTGTTTTCCTCCCTGATTGTTTTCTTTTCCTCGCCGCCGCATTTACATCCATTCTCCATATCCATCACTCGCTATCTTCATGAGACCTGGCTTTGCTATCCTCCTCTTCTTGAGATTATCAATTTTCATCTTCTCTGCAACAGACATCATGGTTGATACCTCACAGCCTGACCGGCGCGCTGGCCGGCAACGTCAGGAGCGCCAGGAGCGCCGGGCTGAGGTCACAAACGCATCTGACACGGATCCCACAACCAATACGAATACATTGGAGGGAAATCCAATACTCCCAATGGAGCCTGCAGAATTCTTCACTCGGGAAGAGTGGCTCACAGAGCTACTAGAGGTGTTCCACGAAAACCTTGAGCCGCTCCAGATGAATCACGACGTTGAGGGGATACGCCAGCTTATCGATTGGCTGGCTGAGAATTTAGGCGCTGACGACGAACTGGCTCAGGCCAGCCCACGGACTCTGCCGTCCGAGGATCGCGCTGCAGCCCATCAGAACGCTGCCACGACTCGACTTGCGAATCGGCTATCGAGGGCCTTCCGACGGCTTGACCGGCTTGAGGCGCGCGTCCCTGAAGGTGATGAGCCTTTGAATCGGATGGTAGAGACGACCAGGGGGGGAGCTGATCCATATGGCCCTCCTTCATATGGCCCTCCTTCATATGGCCCTCCTTCATATGGCCCTCCTTCATATGGCCCTCCTTCATATGGCCCTCCTTCATATGGCCCTCCTTCATATGGCCCCCCTTCATATGGCCCTCCCCAACATCATCCCCTTCTATACAGCCCTCATCCATATAACATTCCTCAACAGATATCTATCGGTCCTCCACAAAGTATTCATTCTTTTCTTCCAAATGCCACTCGTCAACGCAGAGTTTCTCAACCTGGCCCACATCCACCTAGAATACCCCCACCTAGCCCCATTCCGAATGAGGTACCAAGGGGGATTCCTATATATGAGTTTGATCTGGCTACAAATGAACTTCGTGAAATTCAGAGCTACGACGGCCGTGGCCCTACCAGAGATGGTACGGATAGGAGAGCTACGAATAGGAGAGCTACGAACAGGAGAGCTACGAACAGGAGAGCCACGAACGGGGCGACTACGAACGGAGTGACTACGAACAGAGCGACTACGAACAGAGCGATTACCAACGGGGTGACTACCAACGGGGTGACTACCAACGGGGTGACTACCAATGGGGTACAAGGAGCTACAGACGAGGTGAGTACGAAAACAGAGCTCACACATGGGGCGGGCTTGAATGGGAGTGCTAATCGTCGGACCAGCATGATGAGATTGACATCTGGACATGATCCTCTCCGTGCTGAAGTGGAGTAGAAAGTGCTCGGTTCGTCTACTATAACCCATCCAGACGGAGACAGTATTGATACTGACACGCTTCAGGCAAACGGCAATACAAATCAAGGTCGCCTCTCAGCTGAGCCAATTCTACTTGACCCGGAAGGTTCGCAAATCCATTCGCCGACTTCAGAGCTGAGAGTGATGTACCGCTATTTCGTCGTTCCATCGAAGCCTTCTCACGACTAGTCGAATTTCCCTCTCTCAGACTACAGTACAAGAAGAAATGATCAAGGGCTAACGTGTATTCATGCTTACTTAGAGATAATGACGCCCGCTCTCTCTGCTCATCCCTGCTGCTTGATTATAGATGCACTTTGCCATCCGAGAGAAACTCGGCCCTCTCAGACTTGTTCTTCAGGTGAACCGCCGCCCTAGGACTGGGGCTGTGGGCTTGGCCACACTAGTCAGACGCAGGAACGCGGGACACAATCAATAGTTTGTCGATGGGAAAAAGCGATTTGTGAGGAGAGATTGGCACCCCTGCTAGCGGATACTAACAGGCTCGACGTTGGTTTGCTTGAAGAGGGTGGACAAAATAATGTCACGGCGGTACTAGGCCGATGTAGCGCTGGTTTTTTCTTTTGACTGGGATAGAATATATATCTCCATACAGGTACACGCACTTGCTTGGCACAAATAGCGAATTATGATTTCATGATCGTCCATTCTTTGGTGTTTTATATCGACCTTCAGCTGCCCATCTATTCTCCATCTACTTGCGGGACAATGGAGTAGATGATGCTTGTGCGTACGTGATTTAATACGTCGAGTTCCAAGATGTCTAATTCTCCGTGCCTCTCGTTATTTTGTCCACCATGGAATTACATGCCCCCTCTTCACTCTCGACTCTTTTCACCCCCGTCGCAAATAGACAAGGTCGGCGATTGGTCCTTTTCTTTCCCCCCTCCGTCGTAACCTGTATGGTTTCACGACCTAAGACTGATACAGCCCGGCTCACAACAACAACGACGGGAATAAGTCGCGTGTGCGAAGCGTCCCAGCAAATCTTGCAGTTTTTTTTCTAGTCTATATTTTTGTTTGATCTTCATGTTCACCTTTTACGTTCCTTTTTTTTCGCATTGATATCATCTCACAGCCAAATTGCAAACGTAACGAGCAACAAGTTATCCCGAGTTTCATTTCCCCCTCCTCCTCCTTCTCAGCCTGACCACCCCCCCCCCATGTCCCCCAACGGCAGCGAAATATGCATGCACGCATGCAGGTACGGAAACAGCATGTAACAATCCTTCGCAGGAATCAAATGTGTGCCTAGCAACCCAAAAAAATCATGTCATGTTATTGTCATTTCCCCCCTCTCCCCTCTCCCCTCTTCCTTTTCCCCTTCCAAGACCCTTGCGGTGTTTTTTTCTCTTAGTTCCTGAAATACTACCATGGTATTTCCCCTGTTTCTACAGTGCCCGTACATCCTTGGTGTACGAAAAAGCAAAAAAGCTTGTAAGCAAATAGCGTTATATAAGTTAGCCGAACCCGGTTGCCCAATTCCAATAAATTTCATGCCATGTTGTTTTTTTTTCCCTGTATCCACCCTGCGATTTTATCCGCTGCGTCCCCAAGTGAGGCTGTTCGTGTACTTTGCCTTGGGGGGTGTCGGTCGTGGCCTGTCATGTTCTAATGCGGCTAAAATAGTGCGAATTCATGAACCCCCGTAAGTGAAACATGACCCAACAAATCTGTTGAAGAAAAATGAAGAAGAAGAAGGAATATGGAAAAGAAGCAGTGGAAGAATCAGGGAGCTTAGTGCCCTCTCTTGCCGGAGGCGTACTCAAAGTATCCGTTTTCTTGGCTCTGGGCTTCAAGGTTGTGGATGTCGTCGAATACAGAGGAATTAGTGTTGGTGTGCGAGGCCTCTGTATTGACACTGCGCGACGGTGAGTACTCCTTGCCTTCGCTAATATGGCTCCCTTGCTGCCGAGTCTGAGTGTTTAGTCGGGTAGCCATCGCTCTGCTAGCATGGGACTGTTCAAAGGTCAAGCCAATGGTCGTCTTTGCGGAAGTGTGCGAGGCTGCCGCATCGTAACTGGGTTCGACGTGCTTTAGAGAAACATCATTGGGACCAAAGACTTGGCCAATGGTGGCCATGTTTCCATCGTCGGCGGTGTGCCTCGCGTAGCCTGACGGGGCGCTGCGTGTGCGACGGCCCGTTGATTCGAAGCCACGGATCTTCATGGCGCGCAGGAGAGGGCGAATTGTGGCAAGACTGGAAGCAACAATGGCTACTCCAGGTTCGATTATGGTCCATAACATGACGTCTGTTGCCGAGACTATATACCAAACGACGCATGAGAATCGTGCATGTAAAAAGGGGGTAGTTGATATGGGACATACATAGCAAATCACTAGTGTCTTGAAGTGAACTCAAGTACTTGATTCTAATGAGAGTGGCAATACTAGCACTATTTGCAACATCAAGTTAGCATCTTTGAACGGGTAGTCGTACTAATCAAGAAAGGGGAGGGCTTCATACAAGATACCCAGACCAAGGATGAGGATAACTGTTCCTTTGGCCTGGTTTGTCATCTTGACTGACCACAGCATAGGTATCGGAAGGAGTGCCTGAACAAATAACAAATGTAAGCTTCAGTTCAACTCTAGAGTCCAAGGTAACGGGTCCCCCTCACATATAGCCAGTCAGATGCAATTGTCATAACGCTGATGGCGTAAGCGGCAGCAATAATGTCGTTGGGCGATGCGCATCTTCCTCCCTGGATCCGAAAATCCCACTGTTTCTGAACAGGCGTGCACTGAAAGATGTCGTAAAAGAAGATGACGAGGCTCCATATGCCAATAATGACCAGGCTGACGCATATGATCCAGTTGTAGACTTTTCGAGCAGACAAGCGCAGCAGAAAGATGCCAATGCTCAGCTTGATGAACATCATGTTGATAACATACGTAACGGTAGCCAGCGATTGCCACTACAAAACAGAGTCAGAGCACGTCCGGTAAAGTGTCGAGTCGCGGCATACCATAAGAGCCGAGACTTTGTTACCATCATCTGTAATGGCATCATTATGTCTTCCCATTCCATCTTGTACACCAGCGAAAACAAAGGCGCAGGAGAGAGTGAATATGGCCTATAAGAGACATTTCAGTTTACCCTCTTCTGGGATGAAGATTAGGGAGCGCCAGCGGTACGAACCTGAGCCACGAGCATGAGCCAGTCATCCTCTTGGACGCTCTTAATCACCACTGCCCTCGTGTATGTCCTCAGCCCCACGGCCAGCCATGTTAAGCTGAGGAAGGCTATACACGTGCCCACCAGAGGGGCGCCATTGTATTCGTTCAAGTTGACATGATCATCGGCCATGACGATCCGACGTCCCAACCTTTTCGATAAAGACAGCTGACGACGGGCATAGCAACACGACGGCTGCAAAATGAAAAGGGTATGGGAAGGGGAGTAGAAGAACTACGAGCACTAGGACGGCACGCGAATTTTAGAACAACATGTGTATGGGGTAGAGAGGGATATAAAGCGAGCGGCAGCGCAGCCGAGGGTAGCAAGAAAGGGCCCAAGGGCAGGGGAGACGACGGAAAGCAACAAGCACAGTCGAGACTAGTGACGGTGACGAAGCAGGCGGGTATTATATCTACAACCGGCAACAAACTAGGGGCGCCGTGAGCTTGATGGAAACGACGAGACGAGTCACAGACAGATCGACAACCGGCATATCAAACTCACGGCCCCGTCCAGATGGGGATAACACAACCGGGAGTCCCTCATGCCAGGCGGATACTTGGATCTCACACCCGCATCGTCCACTTCCCACTCGTTAGTTTGCGGACCACGGAGTTGCCTGGATTTCGTGCTTGATGCACAACCGGGTCGGCGAACTGGAGCAAACGCGTATCGGGGAAGGCTTCCCTTTTGCTCATACACATCTTCCCCAAGAGCCAAGTGGGCCGCTTTGGCCGTGGCTGCGACACGAGTGGCACGACGGCCCAGCATCCACCTTGAAAGGATTCCAACATAGAAACGCCGTTGGTGGTAATAGGCAAATGCGAGTGTGATATCGGCATGGGCCTCGCAGCGCTGTGGCCCATTCAAGTCGACGTGCAGCGATGTGACCCGCAGCGGATGGGCCCTGCCAAGGTTACATTCGAGCGAGACATGCGTCTATCGGATCTTGAAGAGAATCAAATCGCCCGCCATTGAAAACCCCTTGCTCTTCGGGAGGGAAACAACGGGGCCGAGCGATAGCGAGCGTTGCCGATCGTAGAAAGAGAGAGACGGAGAGACAGACGGAGAGAGAGGACGGAGAGTGACAGCCATCCTGTCAGACAAAGTGCCAGATTCCATGCCCATCGTCGAATCAGCAAGCGTCTCAACGACGTGCCACACGGTCCGGCGTTTGACCGGGTAAAAAGAAGCAATCCATCCCGTGGGAAGAAAAGAAAAAAAAAGACTCGCAGAAAGCTGACCAACGCGAATGTCATTCCAAGTGCGTTCTATCATTGTCACAGCCCGGTTGTGGCGTCCAATGGTCCAACAAACCCTTGCCGATTGCAAGCAGCCCATCACAGCAACCTTGGCCCTCGATATCTCCGGTCCAAGGCCACCGCCGTTTGGTCTTTTTTGGTTTGATTGCGACGGCGATATGATTCGATTTCTCGTTCGTCCCCTGTAAGTGAAAACAACCAACAGGAGGCAAAAGGTCCCTCGCAAAGTGCAACCCGTTTCGGGCCCGGCTCCCTTTAGGCACTTCATCTAGACGAGCGGCTGTGGTTGGTCGGAATCTGGCGCCAGGTGCATGAGATGGTGGTGCCGCAGACGAGCGAATGGAGGCGCTGAATTGGACGAAGCGAGTGATTTCTAAGCCGCCGAGCTTTGCGCGCTCGTTAGATTCCAAGCAATGAAGCAAAAGATGAGAGGTTGGGCTGGGACAATCATTTTACCAGGACAATCACGATGAGCGCATGCACATACCAGACATGGCAGTGAATCGCTCATCGCTCTTTTCTCTTGTCTCCTCGTGACCGTTGTCATCTGCGCCTCTGCGGCGACACAGAATCTGACTGGCCAATCCCCCAAAGGACAATCACAGAGCAATCACAAAGAAATCACAGGCAATCACCGTCTCGCTTGACGATCGGAGAATTTCCGCATCAAAGCTGCACTGGGCAGCCAGCCGGTCGCTTGTCTCCCAAGCAGGCTAAAATCGGCA